ATAACTAAGTGAAGAGAAAAAAAATATTTCACACAGAGGTAATAACAAAATTATAGTGAATTCATGATTGAAAAAAAATATTAGCACAAAACTAAGTGAAGGAAAACAAATATTTTGCATAGTTTTTCTGCCATTGCCCCTCCCTTCTAAGTTTCTAATAGTCCATCTCTTGCAGTTGGATTGATCCATTTTCAAATGCACCCTATCTGCTTCTCAGAGCTGTAAAGAGTATATATCGGAGGTACATGTACATTGCTTGTACATGTATATGTACCATGTGCTTCACATTTTATAGTTGTGTATAGAGGGCAGTATGTAAGAAGTCAAATTTAGCCTTCTGACACTTATAATGTTGTGTTTATCACAATAAGTTTGTTCAAACTAAGTTGCTAGAGCAATCAAAAACTGTACAATAATCTGTAGTTAAAGACCATTCAAGACTATGTTGGCTGGAGGGGTTAAAAACAAAAAAATATTATTTATTTTGAGTTTGATTTTTTCTCTTCTCAGATGATGCTTCTATGAATTTGCTTTGAATATTTGAAATATTTTCCCCCCTGTCATGCAGAATGGCAGAATTGTAGTCAATCTCTGTTGGAGTTTTTTCTACTAATCTCCCTCAGTTTCCATAATGATTCAATCCTTTCATGTAATCTGACTACAGCTATTCAGTTTAACAAGACAATGCTGCCTGTGGATATGTGAGAACATTTTATGACTGTTGAACCACTTTACCTATCGCAAGGATATCATTACAGTTATCACCGTTTCGGTATATATTTAATAGCTAGGCTTTATGCATGAAGCTAGGCTTTATATGCATGATCCCTCAATGTATTTTTGTACACTAGCAGCAATAATTTCCCATATTCCCATATCTCAATGTTCACTATGTTGAACTGTTTTTGAACAGCAATGAAAATTGCTTTCATTTTTTTGAATAAATTAGATTGGCCCCCCCAGAAAATATCAGGAGGTTAGACCTATAGGTACCAGGATGTGTGACCTTTAAGAGAGGTCATGCATTGCATTATTATTTTTATGTATCTGGTGTGTACTAACCAACATCTTCTAGTTATGGGTCAAAGGTTAAAGTTTACATGTGACACGCATGACTCACTGCTGTTTGGTTTCACTTTAACAGGTTTCATTGTGGCAACTTATATTCACAGAGATGGATTCAGCTTTTATAAACTGGCAGGACTCAAACCTCTACATCGCTGGTGCATGTATTCTGTTTAATCCTATATTTTGGAATATAGTAAGTATTGTTACTTGTATATGTGTTAAGTAATGTTGAGTTGTGAATGTTAGTGTTGATCTGGTTGAAATATTAAATGTCAGTGCAAATACGTTTGAGAAAAATGCAATTTACAATTACAGTAATTTAATTTTTTTGTTTTGGTGCTAGATGTATAATAATAGTTTCAGCTAATAAGTATTTCAGCTTTACTAGTTGCGTTCACGCACAGCTCCTTAGCACGGGCTAAGAGGTCAAATTCCTTAGCCCGTGCTAAGCAAACGTGCGTGAACGCTTAGCACGGGCTAAGGAACGCTAAGTACGGGTTAAATCTGATCCGAATTTAAGACGCGGTCTAGACCCTTAGCTCGGGCTAACGAAGTGTCCGCGAACGCTTAGCCCAGGGCTAAACGCCCTCTGCAGCGACCTTTGGGTGTGAACATTATGAACGTGATCAAATATATCCAACTTTCTCATTTCCAAAATGGCAACCGAGCTCAGTGTACACGCTTCCACACTGATCGGGTCGCTGTAGTAGAGCGTACAGCAGCTCCAATCGTAAAACAAAATAAATTTGGTTCGCTGTCTACGACATGCATTAATAAAATTCTGTATTCTGTTACGCCGTTGTATACTGTTTCTGTGCATCCAAATAAGTTGGGTCCGTCTTCTCTCGCGTTCCTGTGCACGTCGCTTCAAAATTAGAACGAAACATGCCAGCAGCAGAAATAGAACCTCGCGCGTGTCATCCATTTTTCATTCACAAATAGTGGCTTGCCAAAGGTCACCAACTGATGGCGCCCCTTAGCCCGTGCTAACGACTGTCCCTCCCTGTGCGTGGACGCAATTGGGTCTAGCCAAAATGCAAATATGCTAGATAAGCCTAAATCAGCTTAAATCTTAGCCCGTACTTCGTGTAACGTGAACACAACTACTGTGTCCCAGTCTCGTGTAGCATTTGTTCTAGTGTATATAATAAATATAATACAGCAGGATGACTGTAACTTTAAGGCAGCCTCTTAATAATTGCTTTATTTTGAGTGTTTTATTGGTATGTAAATATTGACTTCATGCATTGTATATTGTGGCCTTGACATGGTCAACTTGTGTTCTTCTTTTCATTTTATATCATGTGAATCAATATTAATATTTTGGGAAGTAATAATTTTTATAATTTGTCATTGGACATATATTATTATACATGTATATATATATATAGTTTGTTAAATTTCCATTATTTTCTTCTATAGATGACATTGGTCTCTATAACAAATGAAATGTTTTAGTAATTGTCCATCTCTAAATAACATAAATTCAGCACTTGGAAGTGCCTACACATTCCATTATTACTGCAATGAACTGCACTGCTTGGTTCTGAAATGTCTGCCAATAGAGGGCGCTATAATTCATATGGCCTTCTGGCTTGAAGTATTTCACCACAATCCTGAGTGCTTCGTACCAACTTATACTGGTTTGTATTACTCTGATAAATGTCACTAGTACACAGCAGTCTGTGAAAATGATTCATGCATTCTGAGAACATTCATTTTTTTCAATTTTTTTCTTATCTTTTGTTTACCAAACTGTTGAATAGTTTAATG